AAGACTAGACATGGAACCACCATATGATCTAGCTGTACCACTCTTCAGTGTTTAACCTAAAGAATTAAAGTTATCATACTATAGTGATAGATGCATACCCATGTTTATAGCAGAACAATTCACAATAGCTAAACTATGGAATGAGCCTAGGTGTTCTCCAATAGATGAACAGTAAAGAAAATGTGGTGTATATACACAATGGAGTTTTATTCAGACATAAAGAAGAATGAATGAAATTATATCATTTGCAGGAAAACGGATGGAACTTGAGATCATTATGTTAAGTGAAAGAAGTCAAATTCAGAAAGTTAGRAGTTTTTTGTTTTCTCTCATGGAGTAGAAGCTGGAGAACAAAATGGGAAAAAAAAATATTAGGACAGGGAATCTCATGAAAATCAAAGAGAGATCAGTAGAGGTGAGGAAAGGGACCAGGAGATGGAGAAAAGAAGGGAAAATGGGAAATCCTGGGGAAWGATAATGGCAAAATTATGTTGTTATCTTGTGTGCAAATATGTAACAATGAATCCCACTATTATATATAATTATAATGCACCAATATAAAATCAGGGGGAATTTCTTGATAAAATGAGGCAATTCCTCCATCTCTCCTTCCCTTCCTCCACAAATGTTTTGTCTCCCCATGGTGCTCAGCACCATACTAGTTCAAATGAGTACACCATACCACCTCTTTTATCGGGTGATGGCTATGCCTTAGTGTGTATCTCTCTCTCTCTCTCTCTCTCTCTCTCTCTCTCTCTCTCTCTCTCTCTCGTGTGTATACACACACACACACACACACACACACACACACACACACGTTTGCCAACCCTAGTTCTAAAATATTAGGTAAGGTGAATTTGTGCTTGGGAGGAGTTGTGATTCTATTTTAGTTAAGTGCTGTGGAATTCATTTGAGGRTGAGAGCTCMTTTATCTTCAACCAAACTGAACAYTAAGAGGGACTTCTGGACACATATTTTACAAATTAGAAAATCTAAGCTCAGAGAGGATTGGTGGTCCCTATGTCACAAAATTATTCCAATTGCAGAGCTGGGGTTGTTTTTATCTCCCAGCCAAATACTATTTTTACCCCATGCTAAACCATCACCCTAAGACATGTTCAAATCTACCAAGGAACAGTGGATAYGACAAACAACCTTGATTTATTTCAACCTCCATATAGAGTCATACTTYCTTTCTATTTTAAAATAAATGTTATTCAAATATAAAAAGGCACAAAGCATAAATCCAAAGCGTAATAAGTTATTGTTCCTCTATTTTTACAAGTTGTGAGCAATATAGGAGACAAAGCAAATATGAAATGGAATTTATAACAAAGCAAAGACAGGGAAGGGGATCAACTAGGAAGATGGTTTGTGTTCAGACAGGTTTGGAAGTATGTTGTGAACCCTTTTTATTAACTTTTTAAGAAGAACAGCTTATTCTTCCACCAATATCTTCCTGAACTGTTCCTCCCAGAGCATGGGCAGATTCCTTGGAATCTGCATTTCTCTTCTGCATTCTGAATGGTCTCTCCTATCTCTAGGAGACACCCTCTCTCTCTTATCTTAGGCTTGTGCCCATGTCAGTCACCTTCTAGAAGCACTGTCTCCATTCTAGAGGACACAAGCTCTTTCTACAGAATGGGACATCTTCTAAAACACCAGTCATAGCTGTGAGATACAAAAATGTCCCTGTCAAGGAGCCACATAATGCCGGTTTCAAATCCTGGCTCGTCCACTGACTAAACATGTGACATGGAGCAGAGTAGTTGACCTGTATTGTCRTAATACCTACTATAAAGACTTGCTRTGAAGAATATGTAAAATAATATAAATAATGTGACTAATGCAATACTAGGTATATARTAGATGCTCCCAAAGTATCAGCTATTATTATKACAATCTGACTTTGCTCAGRATGAAAGCATTCATCTCCCACTCTCAACTAGAAATCTCTTAGATTTCTCACTATTATTTTTAAGACCAAAGTTTCACTTGCTCTTTARATGCCTTCTGCCTTTGGCACTCACACAGTCTAGTTATACCACCTTCTCCCTAGGAACACACATCCACMTCTCAAGTCAGCAGTTTTTCTGAAGATTCATAAACAGGAGCCAGTGCCTCTCACAGGTTCACAGGCAGACAGTAAAGCAAGGGTACCTG